GTGATGAAGAAGCTTGATGGGATGCACAATCATTAATAGGCTTGTCATTTTTTGGTGCATTATGACAAAATTAAGCTAAATGGCCTTTAAGACCGCAAATAGAACATTTGTGAATTTTGTCATACATATGTGCATAGTGAATAGGTTTCTTAGAAGAATTAACATTGAACTTTGTACATAGGTCCATAAGCTTTTTATTATTAGCAATACAAGTGTTTAGTGTTGAATCTAAGGTAGATATTCGTTTTCTCAATTGATTCAACTCATCATTGTGCATACAAGCATTGCTACTAGAAATAGGATAAACAAGATTATTCATCATAGATTTCAACTTATCTACTTCTAACATAGCATCACGTTTTTCATGAAGCAAACTAGCATTTTTAATTTTTAAATTTTTATTGCATTCTTTAAGAATTATATTTTCATTTGCAATAAAATTAAACTTAGTGGCTAGTGTTTCATGAGTGGATTTCAAATTAACATACTTACTCTTTATAACAATATAGCAATTGTGTAATTTTTCAAACTCAAGAGCAAGTTCATCAAAAGTAATAATATCATCGTTATCGCATACCTCACTAGGATTATCACCTTGTGGAATTTTACATGGAGATGAGGCTTCTTTAGAACTCAAAGTGGGATTTCCAACGCTTGTTGAATGGCCTCCAATTTCCCTTCATGTGCTTCAATACATTTCCATAAGACGTAAGCACTATCAAAACTAGCAAATTTGTTAGAATATGAAGAGTGAAAAGCATTAATCAAATATTCTAACAAAAGCTTGTTCATATTAAACAATCTTTTATCATTCTCACACCATTTGGATTTTTCCAAAATAGGAACAACATAGCCATCCTCAATAATTTCCCACAAATCGAATTGTTTAGATTGAACAAATAGTTTGAATCTAATACGCTATTGAGCATAGGGAAAAATATCCAAACGAGGAGCAATATTAATAGCATATCCTAAACTAGATGAATCATACATATCCATAAAGACAATATGCAAGAAGCAAAATGCAATCAAAATTAGATTAGCACAAATACGATAACTTGGATCTTTAACTCAAGGCGATTAGACCTTAAATCAAAGAGCACCAAGCTCTGATACCAATTGTTAGACCCTAGAGGGGGGTGATTAGGGTCTTATGCTAATCTAATCCCGATTAAATTCTAATTAAAATTATATTGATTAATTTGTTCTTGCAAGAATGATATGAGATAGATATGAATGAGAACAATAAGAATATGCACAAATAATATATAAGCCAAGCAAAACACAAACACACGATATGTTTACGAGGTTCGGTCACCACGACCTACGTCCCCGCTCCTCACCTCGAGGAGATATCCACTATCACAATCAGGTTTGGAAGCCGAAACTTCTACACACTCGGTTTACAAGTTTATCGAAAACTCTCACACACCAAACACTATGCAATCACACTTTACACATTAAGTGTAGGAACCTAGCCCATGTCCTCCTCCTCAAGTGCTCGGATGCAACCTCTCCCTAGGTTCGCCAACCGATGCTACTCCTATTGGATTCGACCCCGTCTCTCGCCTCACACTTCTCTCGGTGTACAAGTGTATTACAAGTGATACTCACAAAAGAAGATAAATACAATGATTTGTTCTCAATAACAAATGAGAACACAATGAATCTCACACTCACTAAATCATACCCCCACAACCCACACTATATAGTATGAAAATATTAAGCTCAATATGTGTGTGTGATAACAGTGAATGAAAATAATACAACTCAATAAATATAGCTAATAAAATGAAAATGGAATAGTAAGCTATATAAGAGTTTAGAAAACTTCTCAAACAAGAAGAACAGTAGATGATGATCCCAATAGGATTTGAAAGCCACTTCTTGTTGTAGGAAAACTTCTTTTGAAACAGACTGATGAAATCAGCTTAAACAGCTCTTTTAAACACACTTAATATTTTGTTAAACACAAAACTTGGATCAGTAAAAGAGAGCAACAATGGGGTATTTAGACCCTCTCAAATATCAGCCAAAAACCAACTTGAAAAGACTAAAAAGCCCCCAGAGAGCCGTTGTGAAAATAGCCGTTAAAAACCAATGATTAAATCGGTGGTCGACCGTGGAAATCTCGTGGTCGACCGCGAGGCACAAAAATCCTGAGTATAGGGTTTTAAGGCTGGCGGTCGACCGCGAAACTCTCTGGTTGGATCACGGTCGACCGTCACGATCGACCGCGGGCATATAAAATCCATGCTAAGAAAATTGACCGTGGCGGTCGACCGCAAACTGACACAGTCTGAAAAACCTGTTTTTGGCCAATTTTGAAAATACTTTAAAAATAGTAAATCAATTCCAAAAATAATAAAACTTTGGGAAAAGTTTCTAAATGATAAAATGAACATGTTAGAAAAGGAATTTTTGGAAAAATAATTTTCGTTTGCAAAAACACACTGTTTTTTAAAAGTGTTTGTAAAACTTGTATTTTACGAATATGAAAATTTTGATATGACTCATAAACATGTAAATATATCTCATGCATATATTATGTGTATATAATAAGGTATGAATGAGCTGTAAACATGAGATAAAAGATATTGTAACGACGTTTGATGAAAAATCATTTATGTGATAGAAAACGTCAAAAATCGTGTTAAGTGTACATATATTGAGCTTACATATAAACATACAATATATGTAGGAAAACTACTCTTATACCTAGGTAACTCCACACATAAGAACTTGAATCTTTAATGCTTGATTGTTGTGTGTTGAAATACCTGTAAAGAGAAACATAAACACAAAACTAGAGAATATATTAGCGATAAATTATTTAACAAATCATCATCAAAACTATAGGGTCAACATCATCATGGTGGGTCCTGAATGTATACGGCTCCACCAAAAAACGGTGTAGAGGCAAGCGAAGATCAAAGTCAAGATGATGCTGATACATTGGCACATCTTACCCCCATGGTGGTAGATGGAGCACTCAAACGAGGGGACGGAATGAGTAAAAGAGCTAGATGTCATAATCCTTCACCCACTGCATAAGGTCATCATGAAAACCTGATGATTTATATCTGTGAAGCAGCGACATTCGTGCTTTGTTGCGAACCAACAAGGACTGAAAACTTGAAGCCATATGAGAAGGCATAAAAAGTGATTGGAGCGCCAAAGATCTAAGATGCAGAAAATTCGAGGGCTTGAAATTCAAAACAATGCAAAGAAGAGAAAGAAAGGGGTAATGGTATATATAGGCACTAACTAACCTTCAATGATTGGCACGCAGCCGAATCCGAACGGATGAACTCATATTCTTAGGAATCCAATGTCAATAATCATCAACCAAAATGCCTTATCACAAAAATCCAGGTGCATGATCTTTGCTGATGACAGGGCATCATCCACGGTTATCTTCCATATGTCGGTCTGAATCCCTAGGGTAGCGGAGGTGAAAGGGTTTGGTTTCTCTCGAACTTGGTTTTTTGCATCAGTGTGAAAGGGGCCAATGTTATACCCTAAAAATCGCAAGTTTGGTAAGCCCTTATGAATGGGCTACATGTTATTCGGATGGCTAGGATTGTATGACTAAAAGACCCGGCCAAAATATAGACACGGCTCAACCAACCAAGCCGACCCCTCCAACAGTCCAAGTATGAGTTTAATCAACTAGATAGAGCATGAGCCTGAGTTGAAATGTGTCTTAAGATTGGACTCGAACAAAGAGTATTAGTGCCCAGGCAAGGAAGGAAATGTTCAACCACATCATCAGCACCGCCTGCATTAAATGCACGGCCAGCATTATGATGACTCATTGCATGGCGCCCATAACTCCACTGCTAAGTCACTATTACATTAAATGCACGGTCAGACGTCATAATGACTCCTCAGACGTTGCCCATACTCTGTCACCCTGTCGCTATCACATTAAATGCAGCGTGGGCAGCCCCACATGCTCGCCCAACTATCAACATGGGTAAAGCGAAAGTAAAACGTCAACTTTGCCAGTCGGGTCAAGTTACTAGTTTGTCCCTACACCTTCCTATAAATAGAGGCCTCTTCTATCATTCTAAGGTCTAGAGTATCTAAACTCTAATCTTGATCCTACATTTGCTCTTTATACTGAGTTTATTAGTCACTAACTTGAGCGTCAATGGCACCTTAGGGGAAATCTCCTCTCGGGACCTCTAACATCTGCTACTTGAGCATGGATCTCCTCTCGGGACCTCTAACATCTGCTACTTGAGCATGGATCTGCCTTTCCCAGTTCATCAGACATCAAAGGAGATTAAGAACCCCCTAATCTTCTCCCAAGTCCGTTCCACCCACAAATTAACTTACGAACATAAACACTTCCATTCTCTCTTAGGATAGTGATCCTCTTTGTTTGCTTTACGATCCAACTATTTGCTGTCAAATTAATGTGACGAGATGTGGGTCACAAAAAAATATCCACGACATGTGTAAATTGTTGCTTCATTCTTGCCTATGCTCTTTGGCAAGTACGTCAATAGTTTGCACCTTTTGTGCATGCGATAACGAAAATTTTTCCTTCTCGAGCTCAAATACCTCGTAATTATTAAATTTCATCACAAGTATTCAAGCACAATTTGCTACACATCATCAAGTATACTACTCAAAATGAGAGCGCATGCCTAACCTCAACAACTCATTGTCATAATAGCAACACTTCTGTTTAAAATATGAAGATCACAAACAACAACAAGATGAAGGGTTTGCTCAAAAGCAAGAGAGAAGAGATCATTGATCGGTCACATCAAATGTTATGTCATCATTAACCTGAGACAGTAGGTAACCGATATTTTCGCTAACTGAGAACTCATTTTCGCAATACTGTCACAATCAAAGCAAATAAAATGCTGGAGGTCAAATACATGCCTACTGCCAAGCCCATTTTAGCATACTGTCAGAATCCCAGCATTATAAGACGCATTCTATTTGCTCTATTGTTTTGACAGTCAATCTCATCTGATACATATGCTCCCAACTGAACAGGGAGAAGAATATATTCAAAAAATTAACTATAACTGACACAGTCAGCCTAAACCCAAGCTACAGCTTAAATCTAAAAGAAAATACATATATAATAAATATGACGGAGGCAAGCTCGCTGGTTATGAAGGAAAAACACAAATTCGAGACATTTGGCTCATTTGGGTATTGGGATATCAATATTCAACTATTTCCTAGAGTTCAGTTAGTCTGAGCGGGTAACAAGAACATGAAGCCACTGTTCTCCCGGATGAGTGCCGGTGGTTCAACATCAGAAATGTCGATCTGCTCCATTGATTTTGATATATCATCAACCGAAAATGGTATGCTGCATAAAAAATTAAGCATATGTCTCAGCAAGTGATTTTTTTCCTTAAGAAATTGCAAGAGGAACAAGGATATGAAAAGGCAAGTCATAAACAAACATGGGTAATTTTTAACAAACTGCAATGGACCTTGGGATATTGTGCACAAAATTACCATAAACTTCTTTTGTAGACAAAATTATCATGAATCTTCACTGTGCTACCATATCTGAAGCTAATTAGGGTAACTTGTCAGATACAATCTTGCTCTTTCCTACCTTATGCATCTTCTATATTACCCTAACAAACTTCAAGGATAGATGTATATAAATAAGGGTAGTCTAGACCCTTTATCCAAGACTTTTATGTGGTCAAGAACAATTTCCAATAGTTCATGATATTCTTTGTCAATTGAAAGTTCAAAGTTACTTAATAAAAAGAAGTGTATGCCAGTTTTGTGCAAAACCCCAAAGGTCATGGTAGTTCTGTGAGATTTACCCAATAAATAAGCTTAAGTTATGAAGAAATCATTAGGATATAAAAAACTTATTTGTAACCTTGAATCATCATCCAGCAAGAACGAATTGCTCACGGCATTGTTTGAATCCTCTGTCATCAATACCCTCATATTCGATATAACCTGATGAGAGCTCCAAATAATAATTAGTACACACTTGCAATGATGAACTAACTAATCAACTGCCAAGCAAAAATGCCATCATCAACATGAAACTTGGAAAGGAAAGAGACTTACATCGGAGGATACACTATGTGTGCCATATTTGTCATCCCAATACATGGTGCTGATCCGGTATAGCTGTTGAATACTGAGTACCTGTGGACAGAGTATTAAAGCTGGTTGGATTTCAAGCTTTAATGATGAAGAAGGCATACGGAAACATTAAAAGGCTGTTACTCACTGGACAGAGGTCATGGCTTATTTCATCCAATGTCTTCTTAGGCTTTTGATGAATAACCTGAATATGAGTTCAACTCAATGAGAACCTTATAGAAAAGAGAAAATTACTGCTTGCACATATCATGTATAAAGTGCAACTATTACAATTTATATACCATGCCATGAGTCATCCTAATTCATACATACTAGTAGCGCTTTACGATGAGGAGCTAGTAAGCTATGAGGACTATGAAGCCGACCTAAAAGGGAATCTAGATCCCTAGACTGCTCCCCAAGGAGAATAGTAGCATATCTGCAGCAAGCTTGTGTGGTTCACAATGTCATAACATCTACCCATCACTAAGTGGACCCAAGTTATGGACCCAACAAGAATAAAACACACAAAGGCCGTTTTAATCCATGTAGCCTGAACTGGAAATATGGAGGAAGGTAGATTTACCGTATCTTTGAATTTTTCTTGGTTAATACATGAGCTGATGATTTGGTAGTGAAGTCATTTGTACACACCTTGTGTGTACTCTTTGACAAGCCTTCTGGCCCTCAAATGTGATATAGTTGGAAGGGGTGGGAGACAGTTTTTATAGATTGAAGGATCCTTATCAAAACAATTAAACAGACAGTTTACTGCTGAAATAAAAAATATGAGCAAAAACTATGTGAATGATAAATTTAGAAAAAAAAGAATTCAGCTTCATAACTATTCTCCGGGCTCAATCATCCTTTGTCAACATCTTCTGTAATCTGATTGACAAAGCATTCTGATGCATACTCACAGTTACTCAGGATGTGAGTTCAGTTTATAAAGAGAAGGACTGTGAAAAATACCAGGAAACCAATAGCCTGTCTGATGTGTTTTAACTCGTCCCAAGCTGAACCAGCATACTGCATATCCATGTAACTCAGAATCATAAGTAACATCAGTAAAAAGGAAAAGAGATCAATTGGCGATAAGAAAGTATATTAAGGAAGTTGGATCGCTCCTTAAGGGACTGAACAGGCAAATAGGAGAAAAATGATACATGCCAACAATATATTTCTAGATCTATTCCTTCAAAATATTAATGAAAAGAAACAAACCTCACAAAAAATGTAATATATCTCGGTTTTGGTTCACCTTTATTGGTACCATAGTGAAAGTTTTACTGGTTTCATCACCAAACTATCAATACACTGAAAAAGCCAATTAAATCACAATATTTCTATCCATCGATTTCCTTTTCTTCGCCATAAAATATCAAAACAATTTATGATACTTCGAACTTCATATCTCCTCATGTGCTAGTTGTTAGCAGGTTAGTCTGTATTGCTCTGTTTCAGCCAACATTGAGAGCATTGGTTGGTTTTCAGAAGAATAAAATATGCATACACTTAAATTTTAATATAATATGGCTGATACATATTGGTATCAACTGATACTTCGAACCTTGCCACAAATTCTAAACGTGAAGCTGGATCTGTGTCCATTACCTATTAGTCATGATATTATGGACACTCGTCATCTCTTTTTTGAAGCAAATGGATACTCCTCATTGTAATCTTTAGCAAAAAATGTTAGAAAAATATATATGTTAGAAAATAAAATATTTAGGATACAATCAACAAGAAGATTTGAGATTTGACATGTCCTCCATGGAAGATTAAGACAATGAAATGTAATACACAACATGTTTATTCAAATATTTAAGGATCATTGATGTTTAGTCAACATGTCAAACTATTAAAAATCCTTCAAATCAATATATGTATGCGTTCACACAATAAAAATACACTTATAATTTTTAACGATGTAGACTCAATTAAAAAACATGAACTGAGACGGTAAAATAGGATATAGTTGTTAACATATGAGATAACCCTTTGTAGACCTGAATAAAGAAAAAGGTTCATGTAGCCAATCAGAAGATTTTGTATCAAGTAATTGTTATTGTTCTTATTTGTTGGTTATATCCTTGCTGTATCAACTTACCTGTCACAACTTTCAGAAATCTTTACCTACAGGTTTTAACTGTCAATAGGATTACTATTACTAATTTTGACTTCCAGTGTTTGCCTACAAATTCTAAAAAGCTTTGGAAACACAATAGGGGCGCAGGCGCTGCCAAAGCTAACACAACGTGCCAGCACACTACTGCGTCAAGTAAGCTGGGTTCCAAACCTAGGAAAATATCTTCTCGGCCAGCTAATAGACCGCACAAGGAGGAAACATTTAGCTTTCTAGTAAACTTATGATCCAGAAGTCTTTACAAAGCTTCTCACCAAAGAGACAAACAGCCCCTACCTTCTGTGTCTTTAGGCTGCTCCATTTCCGATCTGTGGGTCTTTGGATCTTCTTTCGCACCTACTTCAGGAATCCATCACTAGGTGGCTTAGTCATATATATGGGATTTCCTATGCACCAGCAGAACTTCCCAATTCAACTCGGGTGAAGTCAATTAGCTAATAGCAATCTTTTTGAAGGAGATCTAGGTTTCCAATTATCCAGGTCATATGACAATGCCTAATGGGGGGCCTTTATGAAGAGGAAAATCAAGTCTGGAAGAACAAGTGAGAGAATGAGGATTGCTTAATCACAAATAGAATGGCTGAAGAAGATGGGATGGGCACTAGCCACTAGGGTATCAAAGGAGGAAGCAGAAAAGCCAGCAACCTAGTGTAAGCAAGATTTGCACCTCAAGCCTCGTTCACAACAAAAAGACACATTACCCCCACTGCAACGCAAGTGACACTTGTGTTTTATAGGCTGAGATATTTTTGAACATATTGCTACAGTGTAGCTAACATCTAGAAAGTGCATGGCTTCTGTCAAGTAAAATGAATAATCATCAGAAGCCCCAAATAGATCAAGTGTCTGATCAGTGTTTTTGTCGAAACATTTGAGGGTTGTCAGGCTGTCAGCCAGCCACAAACATGATAAACTACCTTCTGCCACTAAACTGAAAAAAAAATGAGATAATGCAAACGAGTCATCATATGTTCGAACTTTTAGTTTATAGCAAGTTACAAAATTGTAAAGGAAAATATCAGAGTAACTAAGAACTAAATAGTTCAGGATGCATCACAACTCTAAAGGCAGCAAGGAAGCTGGAGATCACCTCATCTGTCGCTTTATAGCACCAATGTTCTAGTTCAGCTAATCCTGCTTTGACATATTCACCATTACTGAAGGAGCAGCACTCTCTCCTTAATAGAAGACTGGCCATAAGGAAGAGAACTATAATTACTACCAGCTAGCATTAGAACATGAGATAAAATATATTAGAATTAACATGAGGAGAAATATAATACCTGTTAAATAGCTGAACATTGATGAAGGAAAATATCTGTGTGAACACTTTTCTCACTAAAAAGGGTGGCACCTGAAACAGCAGTACTGCTTGTCATAGGAGATCAAGTTTTCAATAACCAAAAGAACTATGCAAAGTAAGGGTTACATTGAATGGTTTTCTAGGAACTGAGCCAAATTAATAGAACTTAGTTGCAATTAATAGGTAAAGATGAACAGTTACACTATTCTATTACAGCATATATTATTCACCATCACAGGAAAGGAAGAAAATTCACGTGCAATATGAAGGGAACATTCACTAACATTGTTTGATTTCAATGTGTTTAAGAAATTTCCAAGACTTTTAACAATCCCTTGCCAATGAGCAATAAGTGCAGCCTGAGCTGCAGCATTTGCTAGTGACCGATGAGATCCTTTCACCAAACTTGCTCTTGATGTTCTTGGGGCCTATAATATTTGCATATGGAAGGAAAAGGATTAGACACACTGAAAAAGAAAATTACCTTTTTGCAAATATATATGATAATGATGTTTACATAATAGAGGTACCTGAATGCACAAACCAAGCAAGGGAGAAATCTCCTTCTTTAAATTATCACGGATCATTCCGTATATTTTTTCCACATAAGCGGTCAGTTGTTGTTTAAACAGTAATGCAGGATACTTTGCTTCAACTTGGCGTAATGAATCCACTCCACCAACCAAGTTTCCATTCAATAAAGAAAGGTTCACACCTTGAGGGGCTCCCCTGAAACTCTAAAACAAAAATGATACAAAATAGACAAGTATTCACATAAATGGTCATTGAATGTGGATAAACAATTTTGAGCAAATATTTAAATTTTGAATTAAGAAAAGTAGAAAGTCCTGTACTTGAGTCATCCTCCCAAAAAGTGTAGCTGATGATGACCGGCGGCGCTGTGGAGCCATACCAGCTGCACCACTCGCTTTTAATGTACGTTGGAGCAGCAATAACAAAGTGGAAGCATTGGAAAGCCAATATGCTAAGACATCATTATTGTCCTGAGTCTTTAATGAAAATAAAGACAGAGTAATAAGCCATAATTATAAATTAACATGCTGATCAGAATACACAAATGCTGCTAATGATCAGAGATCAAACCTCAATGGCATGACCAATTGTCTGGATTATCCGATCAAAAACACTAGTGCGCTCAACTTCAAATGACCTCCACTGGAGGAGGCATTTGTATATTATACATGCAGCAACAGGTCTGCTTCCAGTGAAGCCTAGGTGTTGTGCAATGCACCTGATCAACAGATCATGGTTCTCCTGTTAGGGACAGAAACATGAATCAGTTAGAAAGAGAATTAAATATTTCTACATGAGGTAATCCTTGAAGGAAATAAGACAATAGAATATTTGAACTCACCTGTTGCTTCTCATTGAGCGATCTCTGTGGTTTATCCTCAATTTCAGAAAGTTCCCTCGAAGCAGATGAGCTGTGGTGTGACTCCTAGGACATTCATTTGAAGGCAGTCAGTCAAAAGGGATTTCATCTAGTCAGTACCTTTTTTCAAAAAAGTTTTAAGTTCTAATACACTGCAAAATTACACTTACTGAAGAAGTTTTTGTATCACCAGTTAGAAGATGGCCACTGTCCGAACTTCTCTGCAACCAGAAGAAGGAAACACAATAAGATGACCAGAAGAGGTAAATTTGTGTTTAGTTAACTCAACATGACTATACTATTATTTACATGCAAAGACTTAGTCCGTCCTGACAGAAATTTGTTAGAAGACACGGATACAGCCTGTTGACGGAGAACTTGATTTTCCGACTCCAGATTCGCTATCTTCTCCTCAAGCCTAATTGGGAACACATAAATATAGTCAATTAAGCTAAAAAAATATTGGTGAAAACCATTTCAATAATGTATATCCAAATGACTGACTACCTGTACTTTTCTTGTAATGAAACAAAGATGACATAAGCATTGAGTAATGCACTAGGATGCAATTGCTACAGATAGATAAAAACTGTTTAAAGTAGCCCAAAGGAGTGTTCTATACTTAAATATACTTCATGGTTCTGTATGACAGAATATTTCTCTTTTTTTTCTGACACACAGCTGCTGAAAGTAAAATCACCCCGAATAATCAAGGGAGATGGAGATGTTATCAAGAGCTGTCCCAAATTACTCATATATTTCTTAGATTTCCTGATTTTGCTAAATATACATGTCACATTTCCACTAAGTCTTCCAAGATATGTGACATGAAGCTAGAAGCTCCAAAACTTCACAATGGACTAGTAGCCAGATCCTATCAACTTATTTAAGACCACAAGCATTAATAAATACCAACTGCTATAACATGATTAATACAGGTAGTCGAGTCAACAATAATTATCTTTGACCATAACTGATCAATATTAGCAATTAATATTCTGCTTAGTTGTAAGGAATAAATGTGAGAAAACACACCAAAGAAGTTAAGTGTAAGTTCAGTGACTCTACATGCAAAAAAAGAGCAATAAAATTGGATAGTATTCGTTCTCCACCTGCAAGTTTCAAATGTATAATAGATGAGCAACTTATTCCTTTAAGGATGTGAGATTTTGACAATCCCCAAAATTCTGATGGCTAAGCCACTTGACTTGTTTTATTACTTACTGAAACTATACCCTTACTGCTATACCCTTATTGCCATCAGTTTTTTTAGCTCCACCTTTGATCGTAAGTTTTCAATTATTTCCTTAAGGTCATATGTCCAGAATATAAACTACAAGGAAGAGAAATACCAAGCATCTTCTATTAATATTGTAGTACAAAGCTCAATCATAGTGGCTAAATAAGGAATCCAATAGTCAAAAAGAAGTTTAGCAGCAACCTGGTCAAGGATTCTTGGAGATTGCGTGATTTCCCTTCTGCTTCTTCTAACATCTTTTGTTTTTCTTCACTTTTTGTTTGTGCTTCCGCATACTTTCTTTCAGAATCATCAGCCCTTTCTTTTTCTGATTGCAGGGAGGCCTGTACAAAATTAAAGCATGAGAATTATTGGAAATACTAATCACATTACCATTGCTAAAATATGTATCAGCCATATAAATATCAGTGGTGGAGAAACACTAAGCATGTAGGAGAAAAGCTCAAAAGAGTAATCGGTTCGTGTTTAACGTATGTATTATCAAAGTGTGGTCTGGTCATGTCAGCTTTCTTAGTTAATCAAGTGTCAAAAAGAAACCAAGAAATAAATAGAGAGACTCTCCTTTATCAGTGGTGGAGAAACACTAAGCATGTAGGAGAAAAGCTCAAAAGAGTAATCGGTTCGTGTTTAACGTATGTATTATCAAAGTGTGGTCTGGTCATGTCAGCTTTCTTAGTTAATCAAGTGTCAAAAAGAAACCAAGAAATAAATAGAGAGACTCTCCTTTAT